AACGGGACCCTGGGAGTATGTGCCAGAGGGATGAACAGGAAGAGACTCGCCAGTGAGCTAGGAGCCCTGATTCTTCAATCCTGTCCCACAACCACATGGACTAGAATTTGCTTTCTTCTGGAGTGTTGCATTTCAAAGGGCAGTAGAGTAACTCAACTACAAACCAGAAAAGCACAATTCTCTTCCTGCTTCTGCCCTGACATCTTAGGGCAATCATTTCCTGCTCTTTGCCATAAATAACTAACTTGTCGAATGGGACCAATGCTCACTGTTCTTCATCCTTCCTGGGAATGATGCCAGGGTAGATGAGCTAGCTGAGGGCCTGAACAAAGCTAAAAGGTGTTATTACCTGTGTTGTCAGTTTGTTGAGAGCACAGTGCCATTTCACCAACCTGTCTTGGGGAACTTTGCTGAATCTCACTAGTAGGTAATAACTGCTGACTCCTTTGATGCTGTTCTTCCTTGAATTTTGGGGTCATTCCTTTCGTTCCAAAAGCTATTGACTGCTAACCAGAAGGCTGGCGGTTCAAACCCACCAGCCACTCCTCAGAAGGAAGATGGGGCAATCTACTTCCATAGTGATACTGCCTCGGCAACCCAAGAGGGGTCACCATGAGTCGGGTCCGACTCGATGGCACATAACAACAAACAACAACATGAAAATAAATGTCCTTTGAATTATGGTGTGACAGCAACAATTCAGGGGGTCGTCATGAGTCAAAATTGACTCAGTAGCAACTAACAACAGCAGTCCAGTGCAAGTGGTTTGTGACGAGCCACTAACCCAAAGGTCAACAGAACACATGCAGTAGCTCTGTGGGGGAAAGCGCTGGCAAACTGCTTTCATAAAGACTGCTGTTGTTAGGTGCCATCAAGTCCATTTTTACTCACAGAGACCCCATGTGACAGACCAGAACTGCCCCATAGGGTTTTCTAGACTGTAATCTCTATTGGAGCAAATTGCTAGGTCTTTCTCCAGCAAAGCCACTGGGTGGGTTGAAGTGCCAACTTTTTGGTTATTGGTCAAGTACTTAACTATTATATTACAGCCAAAAAGACTCTACGAAACAGTCCTACTCTGTAACAAATGGGGTCACCATGAATTAAAATGGACTCAACGGCAACAGGTTAGTCCCAAGGGCACAATCTCAGTTCTGGAAAGGGTGGTGAGGGAGTGATAGGCTCCAAGGCTCCAAGAATAATAATACAGGACCCTTACCTCCAGGTCACTTGCCTCCTCTGGGCTTTTCTCTTTCATTCTGTTTGGCAGCCATTCTAGGCAGTCACCCTTCTACCCTTTAATTTCAAGTTCATTAGCTTAAGGGCTGACCTAACAGTTAAACACTGTGCAGAAAAACTTTACTGCCAGGCATCACCTGCCCTCCTTTTCAAGGCATGTCAAGTTCTGTTGCTCATTAGCATTAGCAGACCATCTAGCTGAATGAGAACAATGGTTTATCATTGAATACTGACTAGAGAGGAGCAACTTCGGAAAGAAATGTCATGCCAGAAGGCTACCTTATTCATCTAATTAGGGGAGAGGAAAAATGTTTCTGACCAACATTAACAGGCCTAAAAACCAGCTGGAAATGATGGAAAATCCATTGATTAAAGTTGCTTAAAAGCTGACAAGTAAACATGGTTTACTTTCTTTTTAAAATAACTAGCTGAAAAAAAAAAAAATAGGAGCTCTGGTAGCATAGTGGCTAAAGCACTTGACTGCTAACCAGAAGGCTGGTGGTTCAAACCCACCAGCCACTCCTCGGAAGGAAGGTTGGGCAATCCTACTTCCGTAGTGATACTGCCTCAGAAACCCAAGGAGGGGTCGCTATGAGTCGGGGCCGACTCGACGGCACATAACAACACAACAACAACAAGCTGAAAAATAACGTTACAAACGTTTAACTTTGGCCACTTACTGTGGCCAATCACTGTGTTAGGCAGCCCTGGGAGGTAGGAATTATCATCCCCATTTTGTTGTTGTTAGGTGCCGTTGAGTTAGTTCTGACTCATAGCAATCCTATGGACAACAGAATGAAACCTTGCCTGGTCTTGCACCAGCCTCACAATCCTTGCTTTGTTTGATCCCTTTACTGCAGCCACTGTGTCAATCCATCTCATTGAGAGTCTTCCCCTTCTTTGCTGACCCTCCACTTTACCAAGCATGATGTCCTTCTCTGGGGAATGGTTCCTTCTGACAACATGACCAAAGCAGGTGAGATGAAGTCTGGCCATTCTCACTTCCAAGGAGCATTCTAGCTGCACTTCTTCCAGGATAGATGTGTTCTGTCAGTTTGTTGTACTTTGGTGGCTTGTGTGTTGCTGTAAGGCTAAAGGCTATGCCACTGGTGTTTCAAATACCAGCAGGGTCACGCATGGTGGACAGGTTTCAGTGGAGCTTTCAAATGAAGACAGACTGGGAAGAAGGACAGGGCCATCCACTTCTGAAAAAAACTGGCCACTGAAAACCTTATGAATAGCAGTGAAACACTGTCTGATATAATACTGTCACCATTTTACAGACCTGAAAATAGACTTAGAGAGGTCTCATGGTGGGGGGGGGAAAAAAAAACAAAACATGAAAAGCATTTATTCCAAGAAAGAGAACATGGACTATCCCTGGGTGATTTGGTAACACAGTTTTGTTTTATGTTTATTATGAAACAACATGTCACTTTTATAAAAGGAAGTTAAACTATATGAAATAATAAATAAACAAAAGTCTTGGTCAACATCATATATGCAAAACTGACAAAGCAGATAAATGTCCATGTGTTCCAACTTTCCTGCTCTTTCTTCAATCCTGCATTCTTTTCATAGGAGACAGCCATTGACGTGGATGCAGAAGAGAAGAAAACCACCAACACCAGAAAAGTTTCCCTCTGTCCTGGCTTTACCTGGGGTTATCACTCTAGGCTAAATGTCTTCATTTGCTCTGATGCTTCTGAAAACTTCCTCCTGCTATCAGATGTCCACCAAAGCTAAACAGCCATAGAGTTGTCCTTGCCATTTTTTTTTTCTTTCTTTAAAGAAAGATTTCATAGTTTACTAATCCTTTGGTGAAAAATCCACAAAATCATCGCAGATCAAGTCACTCCAGAATCTTTATTCCTTCTGTCATCAAATTTCCAGCTCACTTTTTGCCAGCACCAATGTTGGCCTTTGCAATCTTCTGACTTTCTTCATTCTGTTCTTGAGCTCATTGCATTGTTTCCTCAAGGTCTTTTCCTTCTCATGCAGTCCATGTCTTACAAATCTGTGTTTGGGTTCATTTTTCTTTGCATAATCCAAGGAATCATAATTCATGCTGAAGTCAGTAGTCCTGGAACTGCCAAAATGCGTTCTGAATCTAAACACAAACATGACATGTGGTGTGGCCTTATACATTTTGGCTAGTTTTCCCAAAATTTCTGCCATAGGTACGGTTGCTTTCCAGGGTGAAGGATGTCAATGACCATTTGTTTCTGAAGTAGTCAGCTGGTCATGAACTTCCTGGTCCAGATAGTTTGTCATTCACTATGGCTGTAAACCCTTAGGAAGGCAGGGAGGAAAAGTGTCCTTGCCATTTTCAATAAGTAAGTTTTGTAAAATCGTCAAATCTTTTCCCAGAGCAACCAAGTATATGGAGCTATCGCTGTGCTGCCATAAAAATGGGCCCCCTTAGAACAGAAGGGCGGGAGTTCTGCTGGCATAGTGCCTAAGGCATTTGACTGCTAACCAGAAGGCTGGAGGTTCAAACCCACCACCCACTCCTCGGAAGGAAGACTGGGTAATCTACTTCCATTGTGATACCACCTCGGAAACCCAAGGAAGGTACTATGAGTCGGATCTGACTCCATGGCGGTGAGGTTTTTTTTTTTTTTTTTTTTTTGAGAACAGAAGGGCAGTATTTGCACAGGGAGATAGCTCAGGGGGCAGGAATGCATGGGAAAAAGGACACAGGGAAGAAGTAAGGACGGGGGGAAGAGGTAAGGACAGGGAGGAAGTGGGAAGAGAGCTGTTACACTGTGGGGAAGTGCAATCAATGTCATGAAACAAAATGTGTATAAACTGCTGTATGGAGAATGAATTTTCTCTGTCAACTTTCATCCAAATCACAGCAAAAATTAAAAAATAGAAGAGCTTGGGAAAAAGGGGCCCCCTTTTGGCTCTGGAGCAGTGTGGTACCAATTTCAAAGCCTCTAGTCCACATAATGCAAGTCAAAGAAAGGAAACTCACCACTGCCCTGCACTTTCTACAGAAACAGATACCTGGATTAGGGCCCACTGTCTCCCTCATTTCATTCCATGCCCCAGTCTTGAGAGGATGAGTGGACGGAGCTAGATCTGATTTAGCATTCAGGCCTTTGCTGCTTCAAATTTCTGGACTGCATACATTATGGGTATGGGTGCTGAGGGGAGAGGCAACTTGAGTGGAGGTCTTTCTCCTAGAGTAAAAAGTGAATAATCTCTTCCTGTTCCAGAGCAAATTCCCCTACACTCTGGCCTTGATTGTTAATGCAAATAGAAAGATAGCTATAGAAACTGCCCCCAATGTACTAATTCCCTCTGAGCTCCCTTCAGGGAACGCTAATACTCTTCTTTTCCATCTTTCCTGGTAGAGAATTAGACTAGGACTTAATGGCCATCATATATTTACCTAGGACCTGATACTTGAAGAATACAGATCACTGAACCTGGGAACGTCTGAGTAATCAGATATGGATGGATGGACAGATGTATATATAGAGAAAGTATAACAAATACAGATAGGTATATAGATATTTGATAGATATGTTTTCATTCATTCATTTATTAAAAGAAAAACCCAGTACGTTATCAGTCTTCTGCTTGGTTCTGAAGATACAATGCTGTACAAGACAGACAACTTGGATTCCTTTCAGTGAAGCATGGCATTAGCCCCTCCCAAATTTCCCACTGATGACGTTCTTGTCATTGGGGATTCATGATTTTATATTATTTCACCCTCTCTAGGGTTAAGCTCCATATAGTGACTTTATTCAGACTGGGGACATGGGACAAACTTCCTTTCCCCTGTGGAGTTTCTGGTGTCTAAGAAGGCTTGACCGCCTGCTAAATTTTCTCTTGCATATGCTACAAATAAAGGGCTGCTCACCTGTGTGAGTTCTCTGGTGGTTAATAAGATGAGAGTTCTGACTGAATCTTTTTCCACATTCATGACACTTAAACGGTTTCTCTCCTGTGTGGATTCTCTGGTGTGTGTGGAGATTTGTGATATGACTGAAGCTTTTCCCACACCATGAACATTTATGTGGTTTTATTCCTTGGTGTGTCATTAGGTGCTTGTTAAGATCTGAAATCCATCTAAACCTCCTATCACATTGTTGACATTTATAAGGTCTCTTTTCAGTGTGAATCCTCTGGTGATTAATAAGGTCAGAGCTCACTCTGAAGTTTTTTCCACATTCCTGACATTTAAAAGATTTCTTCCCGGAGTGGCTTTTCCCGTGAAGATCAGTACATGTTGGCACCTCTTGTTTACAAATTGACTCTTTCCTTCTTTTCTTCCCTGGAAAATTCTGATGCTGTTTCCTCACCTTGTGTGTACCATGATGATTTTCTTTGCCAGTTGTTTTGTTGGGAGCTTTAACTTTGGCTGTTTGTGATACTCTGCCTCCTGGTGGTTGTATGTCTACCTCAGAAGGAGATATAGGCCGATCAATTTCAGTGTCATTTTGGAGTTTTAACCCTGTTGGAACAAACAGAAAAATCAACCATCTCTGTCTGAGAGCAAGAAAACCAAAGGAGTGGGGAGAAAATCCAATGATGATTGATTTCTTAAAATACAGAAATAAGTGATTTCTTGTCTGTCTGGAAGAGATGGCACAGATCCATTTCTTCCTGCTCCTGCTACCTAAGCACAACTATAAACCCAGGAAATAACGATAGAGAAGACAAGAGGGAAACACTGAGAAGTAGTAATAAGAAGGTAAACTGCTTAGGGACCCTAGCACTGAACAGAAGAAGACAACCCAGATACGGTGTTTCTCAGCCCTTAACAACAGAGTACACAATCCAGGCAGGATGATTCCTCCCCCAGATGAATTAGGGTTCCCTGTGACAATATCCCACCACTCATCTGTCAGTTTGTCATGCTGTGATTGCTTATGTGTTGTTATGAGGCTGGAAGCTATGCCAACAGCATTTCAAGTACTAGCAGGGAAACTCATGGGGGACAGGTTTCAGTGGAGCTTCCAGACTCAGACAGACTAGGAAGTAGCATGGGGCCATCCACTTGGGAAAAAATTGGCCACTGAAAACCTTATGAATAGCCATGAAACACTGTCTGATATAGTGCCAGAAGATGAGCCCCTCAGGTTTGAAAGCACTCAAAATACAACTGAGGAAGACCTGCCTCCTTAAAGTAAAGTAAACCTTAATGACATGGATGAAGAAAAGCTTTTGGGACCTTCATTTGCTGATGGGGCATGACTCAAAATGAGAAGAATCAGCTGCAAACATTCATTAATAATCAGATGTGGGATACACAAAGTACAAGTATAGGAAAATTAGAAGTTGTCAAAAATGAAATGGAGTGCATAAAGATTGCTATTCTAAGCATTAATGAGCTGAAATGGACTTCTTGTTGTTGTTATGTGCCATTCAGTCGGCCCCGACTCATAGCAACCCCTCCTTGGGTTTCCGAGGCAGTATCACTATGGAAGTAGATTGCCCAACCTTCTGTCCGAGGACTGGCTGGTGGGTATGAACTGAGAGCCTTCTGGTTAGCAGTAAAGTGCCTTAGGCACTATGCTACCAGAGCTGGTATTGGTCATTTTGAATCAGACAATCATATGGTCTACTATGCTGGGAATGACCAAATGAGGAGGAATGGCATTGCACCCATCGTTTCAAAAACAGTTTCAAGATCTATCCTAAAGTACAATGCTGTCAGTAATAGGATAATATCCACATGCCTACAAGGAAGACTAGTTAATACTACTATTGTTCAAATTTACACACCAACCAATGAAGCCAAGGATGAGGAAATGTGAAGATCTTTAACCAGCTTCTACAGTCTGAAATTGACTAAACATGCAATCAAGATGTATTGATAAGTTTTGGTGATTGGAATGCAAAAGCTGGAAACAAAGAAGCACCTTCGGTAGTTGGAAAATATCGCCTTGGTGATAAAATGATGCCAGAGACTGCATGATAGAATTTTGCAAGACCAACAACTTATTCATTGCAAATGCCTTTCTTCAACAACATAAATGGCAGCGATACGTGTGAGCCTCCAACCTTGCCAGAGAGAATACACAGGAATCAAATAGTCTACAACTGTGGAAAGAGGCAATGGAGAAGCTCAGTATCATCAGTCAAAAAAAAGGCGAGGAGCTGACTGTGGAACAGACCATCAATTGCTCATAAGCAAGTTCAAGGTGAAGCTGAAGAAAATTAAAACAAGACCATGAGAGCCAAAATATTATATCCCACCTGAATTTAGAGACCATCTGAAGAACAGGTTTGATGCACTGAACACCAATGACTAAAGACTAGACAAGTTGTGGGATGATATCAAGAACATCATACATGAAGAAAGCAAAAAGTCATTAAAAAGACAGGAAAGGAAGAAAAGGCCAAATGGATGTCAGAAGAGACTCTAAAACTTGCTGTTGAATAGAGAGTAGCTAAAGCAAAAGAACTGAAGAAAAAATTTCAGCCTCGAGTTGCAATAGTGAGAGATTCTATGGGCAAAATATTGAATGATGCAGGAAACATCAA